GTTAGGAGTTTGAGACCAGCCTGGACAACATAGTGAGACTCTATCTTTACAAAAATTAAAAAATTAACCAGGTATATTGGTGTGTGCTTATAGTCCTAGCTACTAGGAGGCTGAGATGGGAGAATTGCTTGAGCCCAGGATTTGGAGGTTACAGTGAGTTATGATCATGCCACTGTACTGCAGCCTGCACCCTGTTCTCTAAATAGTAATAATCATTATAATTATATATGTCCATACATATGGAAAAAAGAAATTTATAAAAAATGAATTAGGCACATTTATGTGAGTCTATTTGTAGGCTATGTGTTTTCCATCAATCTCTGTTTCTATCTCCTGCTGAATCACATGGTCTCCATTACTGTCGTTACACTATAAGCCTTAACATCACATAGAGTGATCCCTTCTACTTTCTTCTTCTTTTTCAAAATGGTTTTTCACTATTCTAGGTCCTGTGCCTTTCTGTATTAACAATAGGATAGCCCTGTTTATGTTTTCAAAAAAACTTGCTAGGATTTTGATAGGAATTGCAGTAAACCTACAGATCGATTTAGGAAAAATTGATGTCTGTAGTATGTTGAGTCCTCTCATCAATGAGCATTGCATATTTCTTCATTTATTAAGGTCTCTAATTTCTTTTATCAGCATTTTGTAATTTTTAGACTATATATGTATTCTTTTAAAAGATTTTAGCTAAGTATTTTATTTTCTTTAGTGATTTCATAAACAGTATTTTTAAATTTTTGGTTTACACATTGTTAATATGTAAAAATGAGCTTTATTTTTTATTTCTTTCCTTTTTTTTTGTTAGACAGAGTCCCACCCTATGCCCCTGAGCAGAGTGCAGTGGCTTGGTAGCTCACTGCAACCTCGGACTCCGGCTTGTGGTCATCCCCAAGCCTTAGCCTCTGGAAGCCACTGGGATTACAGGGGCTCGCTGGGGCGCCCAGCTGGGTTTTTACATTTTTTTCTTGAGTCAGGGTCTCACTGTCACTCAGGTGAGTCACAAACTCGAGCTTTATTTTTTTTATTATTATTTTTTTTGAGACAGAGCCTCAAGCTGTCACCCTAGGTAGAGTGCTGTGGCATCACAGCTCACAGCAACCTCCAACTCCTGGGCTCAAGTGAGTCTCCTGCCTCCGCCTCCCACAGGCACCTGCCACAAGGCCTGGCTTTTTTTTTTTTTGGTTGCAGCCATCATTGTTGTTTGGCGGGCCTAGGCTGGATTCCGCCCTGCCACCTTAGGTGTATGTGGCTGGCACCTTAGTCACTTGAGCCACAGACACCGAGCCAAGCTTTATTTTTTAATGTTGATCTTGTATCCTGTGACTTCACTGAAGTCACTTATCAATTTTAGGAGTATTTCTGTTTTTTGGTTAATTTCCTGGGATTTTCTGTGTAGCCAATTATGCTATTTGCAAATAGGGACGATTTTATTTCTTTTGTGTTTTTTTTCCTTTGTCTTGCCTTATTGCAGTGGCTAGAACTTCTGGTGTCACATTGAATAAGAGTGATGAGAGTAGACATCCTTGCCCCTTATTTCTGAATTCAGGGGGAGCTCATTCAGTGTTTCACCATTTAGTATGATTTTTAACTGGAGGTTTTAGTAGATATTCTTTATTAAGTTGCAGTAGTTTCCCTCTATTCCTAACTTGCTGAGAGTTTTTTTAAATCATTAATGAGTATTGAATTTTGGCAAATGCTTTTTCTACATGACCATCCACATGATTTTAGCTTGTTGATAAGTTGGCTTATAATGATTGGTTTTTATAGCGGTTTTGGTTTTTCAATGTTGAGCCAGCCTTGTATAACTGGAATAAATCATAATTGGTCATGGTTTATAATTCTTTGTATACATTATTTATTTAGTTTGCAAATATGTGATTAAATTTTTTTGTGTCCATGTTCATGAGTTACACATATTTTTATTTTTTTGAACTATGTTTGGTTTTGATATCAGTGCATACTAGCCTCATGAAGTGAGTAGATAAGAGTCCCTTCTTCTGTTTTATAAAAGAATATACGAAAAATTAGTATTAATTCTTTAAATGTTTGATAAAAATCTTTAGTGAAGTCATCTCAGCCTATAGATTCCTTTTTAGGAGACTTTGAATTAATAAATTTAACTTCTTTGATTATGAGACTATTTAGATTTTATATGTCATCTTGGTTGAATTTGGTAGTTTTTAGTTTGGGAGTAATTGATCTGTTTCTTCTAAGTTATGGAAAATATGAGTATAATGTAGATTGTAGTATTCCCCATTATCCTTTTATGGTCACTGGCTATGCAGTAATATCCTGTTTTATTGATATTGATGATTTGTGTCATCACTTTTTATTTTTGTCTTTCTAGAGGTTTATTACTTTTATTGTTCTTTTTGAGGCTTCAGAATTTTACTTCATTGGTTTACTCTTTTTTTCATAGTCTCCATTTCATTGATTTTTGCTCTTCATTATTTCATTCTTTCTGCTTACTTTGGGCTTACTTTATTCTTCCGATTTTTGGTGTAGGAACTTAGATTATGAATTTGAGACCTCTCCTCTTTTCTGATGTAAACATTTAGTGTTGTAAATTTCACTTTCAATATTACTTTAATAGTATCCCATATGTTTTGATATGTTTTTGTAAGTGTTGTGTATTTTTAAATTTCCTTGGAGACTTCCTCTTTAAGAACTGGATTTTGAAGGAGTATACTAGTTCATTTCAAAGCTTTTGGAAATTTTCCTCTTGTCTTTCTGTTATTGATTCCTACTTTGGTTCCTCTGTGGTTACAAAATATACTGCATATGATTTCAGTTGAAATCTTTCTTGATAAATGTCTTGATAAATGTTCCATAGGCATTTGCAAAAATGTGTATTCTGCTTTTATTGGGTGAAATACTCTATAATGAAAATCCTGTTCGTTGATTGTGTTATTCAGATTTTCTACGTTCTTACTGATTTTCTGTCTAGTTCATCAGTTGCTGAGAGTCAGGTGTTGAGGTCAACTATATAATATATGGATTTGTCTGTTTCTTTCCTTTACCTTTCAGTTTTTACTTCATATATTTTGAGACTATGTTGTTTGGCGTGTACACATTGAGGATCATTATGTTTTCCTGGAGGTTAATCTTTTCATTGCTATATAATGTCCTTATTTGTCTCTGGTAATTTGCTCTGAAGTCCAATTTATCTGATAACAAAATATATACTCATCTTTCTTTTGTTTGAATTATTATTTGCAAGGTATTTTTTGTCCTTTTACTTTTAACCTATCTATGTTATTGAATTTATAGAGTTTCTTATGAACAGCTTATAGTTGGGTCTTTTATCTACTTGCTGCCATTTAATTAATGTGTTTAGACTATTTGCCTCTGAGGTAATTATTGATATCATAAGGTTTAAATCTTCCCTTTTAATTATTTTTCTGTTTCTTTCCTCTCTTATTCCTCTCTTTCTCTCTCTTGCCTTTCCGAGAGTTACTCGAACACTTAGTATTCTGTCTTGATTTGTTTATGTCTTTTAAAATATTGCTTTGTGTAGTTTTCCTAGAGATTGCTCTGGGTGTTGTTATTTTATGCATATGTGACCTATCACAGTCTACTGGAATCAATATTTTCTCAGGTAGAATAAAATGTTGAAACTTTACCTCCTCCACTTATGTTCCTCTGCCCTCCCCACTTTTTAAAATTTTTTTTCTTGAGACAGTCTCACTTTGCCACCCTTTGTAGAATGCCATGGCATCATAGCTCACAGCAACCTCAAACTCTCCAGCTCAAGTGATTCCCTTGTCTCAGCCTCCCAAGTAGTTGGGTCTGTCTACAGGTGCCCGCCACGATGCCTGGCTATTTTTAGAGACAGGGTCTCACTCTGGCTCAGGCTGGTCTCGAACTCCTGAGCTCAAGCAGTCCACCCGCCTTGCCCTCCCAGAGTGCTAGGATTAGAGGCATTAGCCACGGTGCCCGGCCCTGCCCTCCCCACTTTTAAACATCATAGGTCATAAACATCAGATGGCATTTTCATTTTTGTTTCAGTCATCCCATATAATTTAGAAAACTCAGGATAGTTTTTTGTTTATCCGTACCTCTATTTTTTCTGTTATTCCTTTTTATCACTGAATTATGTTCTGTGGTATAGATTTAACCACAGTTTGTTTAACCATTCACTTGTTGAAGGACATCTGGGTTGTTTCCACTTTTTGACTATCACAAATAGAGCTAGTAAGAACTTCCATGGGCATGTTTTTATGTCAATATGTGCTTTTATTTCCCTGGGATAAATTCCTAAGAGTGAAATTTCTGGGTTATGTGGTAATTGCAGTTTTTAAAGGAATGGCCAAACTGCTTTCCAGTGTGGCTGTTTAATTTTGATCTCCTCCAGCAATGTAGGAATGATCTGGTTTCTCCAGGCATATTTCTGCTCTTTCTGCTCTTCCTTATGCTCCGCAATTTCTTCTATCATCATAACCTTTTCTGTTTGAAGATCTTTCTTTAGCCATTCTTTAAAATTTCTTTTTCTTTTTTTAAAATTTCAGATTAATGTGAGGGTACAATCGATTAAGTTACAATATTTGCATTTGTTAGGTAGAATCCCTGTTGTGGTTGTGTCCTGCACCCAGGAGGAGTGCCATATACCTTTACATTGTGCCCATTAAGTGGGAGCACACCAATCTCCCTCCTGCCTCCTCTTCGCCCCTCCCTTCTCTCTCTAGTCCCAATTTGAATTGAATTGAGTTTTGCTCTCATGTGGGCATGTAGTAGATCATCTACTGACTTCATATCAGTATTGAGTACATAGGATACTTACTTTTCCATTCTTGTGACAATTTACTAAGAATGTGTTTCAACGTCATCTAGGGTAATACAAAAGATGTACAGTCCCTTTTTATTAGCCATTATTTTAAGAGTAGATTTGCTGGGAACAAATATTTGGTTTTCTTTCGTCTGATAGTGTGTTTATTTTCCCCCATGCCTGAGAAAGTTTTTCTGGATAAAGAATTTACAATTGAGAGCTTTCCCTTCAGGATTTTATTTACAAAAATGTTGATAAAAGTAGAAACCAGCATGGAAAACAGCTCTGACACGATGATATCTCCCAACTTTATTGGAAAATGACAGTAGCCAAGATTCTTTCTCATTATCTATCTGTATCCCTCCCAATTAGAGTGAGTTTGAAATGACCCACATTACAAGTGCCACTATTTAACCTGTATTCATCAACATCTTTGATGTAAGCTAGTGGAAGCTGTTTGCTTCCTATTTTGCAGGCTGATTTTAGGTGATATTCAAAACAATGGCTAGCATTTGTTGAGTGTGTATTACATGCAAGGCACTGTACCAATCAGCTGACCTGCCTCTTCTTCACTTACACTCATAATGACCCCCGATGTTGGCACTTTTATATCCCCTATCCCTGAGGTCACAGAGCTGATGAGTAGCGCTTCCAGAGCTGCAACCCAGTTCTATCTGACTTTAAAGCTCATGTTTCTTATCAATCTGTTGCACTGCCTGCCAAGCCACAGTGGCAGAAATGAGGGGACCCCAAACTCCATGGCCTTTAAGGGCAGACCTTTCAAATATTTTATCATTCTTTTGTGTTTATATCTTGACTTCTAAGGAACTTCACCTCTTATTACTATCCTAAAGCAGAGATCTGGAAACTTAGGCAAAGGGCTTGATGGTATTATCTGTCACAACTACTCACCTTTGCTGTTGTGACCCAACACCAACAATAGCCCATAGGTAAATTAATGGTTGGGGCTGCTGCATGCTAGTATAGACTCATTCACATAGACAGGTGGAGGGAGGGCTGGTAAACTGTAGTTTGCTGACTCCTATCCTAGGGGAGAGCCTTTTCCTTTAAATTATTTTGTTACCCATACCAGAAGAAACTTCAAAACCTGTGCTCTTTGTACTAAAATTGGCACTCTGATACACTGTTGTTAGGAGCATACATTGGTGTAAATTCTCTTAAGTGTAGTTTGTGTAAAAATCCATAAAAATATTTATTCCAATTGATTCAGTAATCTCACTTCAATTTGAAAGTATAGTAAAAAATTACATGAAATGTTTAGTACAAGAATATCCTTTATAGAATTGTGAAAAATTGGAAGAAGATAAATAAAGAGACGATAGGGAATGAATTCTGTGACTTCAGGTATATTCACGGCATGCGAGGCAGTAAAGTCTTAATGGTTGAGGACACATGTTTTTGAGTCCACCTATCTGGGTTCAAATCCCAACTCCGTGTCTCAGTATCCTTGTGACCTTCCGCCACTTTCCTAACCTAAATATTGGTTTCTTCTGTGACAAAAACAATAGTATCTACTTTGTGGAATTGTGCAGATCAAAAGGAACAATGCATTAAATCTCTTAACACAATGCTCAGAACGTACATACAAGATAAATACCACCTGTCAGGAAAATCGTGATGACAGGGTTGCAGACTTGAAAAAAATAAGTGGAAGAAGAAAGCAGAGAAATGCTCAAAATATAATGTTAAGTGAAAAAGCAGGATTCAAACTATATGTAAAGTATGATTTCAATTTTGTATTTCAAAAAAGAAATAGGAAAAAGAATGGAAGACAACAGTGGAAGATTAAACAGACAGACTTAGGTTTCAAAACTGGCTTTACAATTAGCAGTGTGACCTTGTTCAAATAACTTAGCTTCCCTGGGCCTCAGTTTCCTCCTCTGGTAGATGGGAATAAGGTGGAGTTGTTAGGGTGATAAATCCGAGCTTATAGATGCAAAATATTTAGTACAGTACTTGATATATAGTAGCTACTAATAAATGCTAGCTATTTGAATATTTTCTTAATTATCCCCACCTATACTTTCCAGATTATCTTCAATTTGGAGCATATACTTCAATCAAGGAGCATATACTCACTAAATAATATAGCTCTGAGTATATGTTTATTTATTTACTTATTTATTTTAGAGATGGGGTCTCACTCCATCACCTAGGCTGGAGTGTAGTGGCAGGATCATAGCTCCCTTCATCCTTAAACTCCTGGGCTCAAGTGATCTTTTTTTCTCACCCTCCCAAGGACTACAGGTGCACACCACCACACCATGGCTAATTTTTAAATTTTTTTTTGTAGAGATGGGGTTTTATTATGTTGCCCAGGCTGGTGAGCATACTTTTAGAGTACAAAAGGGAACAAATGGTAAGTCAAAGCCACATGTGTACATAGGCAGCTACAGCTTGACAATTAAATTTATTCAGGCCAATGAACAGATTTGTTTAAATACAGCAACTCGCAAAGGTGAAGAATGTTGACAGCCTTGCAAGATACAAACAAGAATTTTCCTTTTCCCTTGTACTTTTAAAGCATATCTTGGTGACCCAAGAAGAAAAGTCAGGGTACTTCAAGCTCATTTGGTGGCTGCACAAAAGAAGATCAGACCTGAGCACGCGGCCTGCTATTTGGTTCGCGTTTTGTTTTCCAAGGAAGTCCTGATTAACAGCTCTGTGGGTGTCAATGTACAAGGCCGCCAACCCCTAGACCCAAACAAATTGGCTGCAATAAGAGGTATGCATATGTAAAGTTCCAACAGAATCTTGTTTTTAATCAGCGTTTGGTGATCGAACGAGTGTCATTGGCAGTTGAAGAAGTATTAATAACAATGAAGTCTGTAAATCCTAGAACTGTTCATTTTTTTCACTGTCTGACCATAATTTTACAATTTGATAATATGTAACTGGCAATAGCATCTAACGAACAAAACTTATCTATTGATTGGTTGACTAAGACAAAAAGCAAGCCTTATTGATTATAGGTGCTTATGCTTAGTACTAAGTCAGTTCTTTAGCACTGAAACTTGCTACTAAAAATGATGAAAAAGCCCCCACAAAAACGGGTGGGGAATGCACCTGACTTTTTAGTGCTAGTGACTGGCAACAGGAAATAAGATCTCATGGCTGGTCCACTTTAGCCTCCTGTCTTCCTGCTCCCAGAAATGTACACTGAGGTCCTAGAACTCCTGGGTACTGAGGATACCACAGTGAATAAGTATTTCTGCCTGCGAGGAGCTCATAGTCTGAAAGGGGCATGTTGGTGGAAGCATAAATTCCAGTCCAGTGTCATAGTATTGGGGAGTCTCAGAGCAGAGCAGTTTTGAGGGAGTTGGAGAAGGCTTGGATAGGGACAGGACATTTTTGCTGAAGTCTGGACTCCTTAGCTAGGTAAGGGGAATAGGAAAGTTCTCAGCCGAGGGAATAGCTTCTGAAGGATACCCAGGAAATGCCCAGTACTAATAATATATGTAACAATACTATTTTCCCTTTACATGTTTTTTTTTTTTTCTTTTTAGTTCTGACTTATCCATTTGGTTATTAAATGGTCCAAGCACCCTGAAAGAATTGAGTTTTGGTTGTTACACACTTTTTCTAAGTACCAAGAGCTCAGTATTGACTCCTTAGGTCAGTTTTAGGGGTTCTCACAGTAGAGGAATTGACATAATTCAGCAAAACACCCTCATGGGGTGAAATTTCTAAGCTCTCAGGATGAGTTAGAGGGAACAAAAGACCATTCGAAAGAGAAAAAGTTAGTATTTATTTTAAATTTAAAAATGTCTTATTTCTTTGTTAATTTTTGTTCTAATTTTCACGAATACTTTTTGCTGTTTGCAGAATATCTGGCAGTAGTTTTTCGCTCCTATGATTTGAGGGAATATGGAAGAGACTGGAAAGCCTGTCTTTTTAATATCAATTCTCTGATCCGCTACTTATATTATAAATACAGAAGAGCATCAGTAAGTGATTTCTCATCTAAATATGGTAACTGCTGCGTAAGTTCGTACTGTCCATGTATATATTCCAAAACTGATAACACAACACACAGAATCTTCAGGCTATGGCTAAAATCTCATTTACTTAAGGTAGGACGCAGGGGGTGTTCTTTCAATAGCACACTGCCTGTTTATTTTACTTGTCTTATATTTATGCTGTATAAAAAGATCCTAAAGATAAATCAAATATAATGATCTCATTAGTATATTTGAAGCCAAAGACAATCCTAGGGAAAAGTTTCAGCTAACAAGGTATTTGGCAAACTTTTTCAGCATCTCCCCGGGGAACACAAAAGGCTGTCTGTGTTGCCTGGCTGTTTCAGTGGTGGCTGAGGACGGCACGGGAGAAAACGTAGGCTCTTCATTACTTGCCCACTTTTGGTGGTGGTGGAACCTGGTGAAAATGATGCATGCTGCGAGGCTAAACTAGCACAGATATTTGATACTCGGTACAGTTATGTGGTAACAAGAACCCGGTTTCTCTCTCATCCATTCTGTCTTTAAATTGCAGTGGAGATTCTTTTTTAACCAATAAATGGGCCATTTGGGAAGAGTGTCCTATCTATTGCCTTCTGACGAAGCATTTAACTGAATAACAATTCCTAACTTCCACACCCTCTCTGAAAACCCCACTTTATTTTCACCGTGTCTAGTTACTCCTGTGTCTCGAGAGTAAGTTTATGGTAACTATTTGCCAAGACTATTTGTAGCTGAGCTTATGTTTTCCTGGTGAATGGGTTGATTTCAGTGATAGCTCAAGCACCATCTGTCTGCAACCAAATCTGCTTATTTTTAACATTCCATTTTATAGCCTTCAAAAATTGCACCCTAAACAATTTGAATGTAAAATTAAGATACTGCCTGGAAAATGGTAATTCGCATATTTGCTTAGGCCTCAGAAGAGAGGCAGCATCTGCCACGTGCCTGCTGTGTGCTTGACTAGGAATGGGGCGAGTCCTGGCCACTCACTGTGGGTCCATAGCCTGGAAGGCTTATGAGAAGTGCAGAGTCTTGTGTTCCATGCTGCACTCACTGAGGCAGAATCTATAAGTTAGCAGGACTCCCTGACCCGGTGATTTGTGCGCAGGTAAGAAGCCCAGAGCAGTGATTGTCAACCATGGGTGAATATTAGAATCACATGGGACACATTTAAAAAATAGTTACTGATGCCCGAGCTTCCCCCTTGCACCACCAGAGATTCTGGTTGAACTTGCTGGGTGGGGCCCAGAACAGCCATATGTTTTAAAGACCACTAGGGTAATTCAAATGTGCAGCCAGATTTGAAAGCCACTAAGGAAAGAGTAAATAAATAAACAAACAGAACATTAAAAACAAACAAAAAGTTGTCATCTTCAAAAGAAGTCTTTATTTATTTATTCCCAAAATGTTTCTTATGCACTTCATTTATGCCAGCAGTTCTCATTCAGTGTGTTAGACAGCTGGTTAGACCAAGGTCCTCAAGAAGCAGCAGTTGAAGAAGAATCCACACTTATCCTTTTCAGCTAGCTTGTGGCACACAACAGTCCTCTGGTTTCAGCTCACCTTATTAGAGACGGTTGCTTCCCTTATCTACCAGGGGCCATTGGTAGGTAATGGAGCATGCACTTATTTTCTCACTGTAGGACTTTGTTTATAGATCCAGTTTTGTGTTTCAGCTGAACAATGTTGGCCGACACAAACACCCTACCAACGCTGATGCGGCGGCAGCAGCATCTGCAGGTCAGGGTGATGAAAGTGGTGGTGATGGCGGGGAAGGAAGTTCTCAGATAGTTCCGCAGGCAAGCCCCTCGAGCACACAGGAGAGTGGGGATTCTCAGCAGCGCCCTGATGCCGCCCGGGAAGGAACAAATGAGCCTTTCGCTGATAACACCGCGATACCTTATGAAGCACTGGGTGAGTTCTAAAAATAAGTTCTCTTGCTGATAGATGTTGAATCCGGGTGATGCATTTGTGGGGCTCATTGTATTATGCTCTTGACTTTCATGTATGTTTGAAAAACTTTATAAGAAAGCAAACTAATTTAACCTAGTATGTTAATGAGTCAATGAACTATAGATGCCTACTTCTGAGACTGATCACTTTTAATGTGAAGCTGAATCTGTTATTTTTCCTGTGAAAAGCAGCCCTGCGCCAACTCACCCCACACACGTGAGTGCTCTGATGCGGCGCCATCCACGGCCCGGATGCAGTTCCTGTTTTCTGTGTGCCTGCCTGGCACATTGCAGGTGCTCAGGAAGGATTATTGGCATGAATGAATGAATCCCTTTCCTTAGAACATTGTGCTCTTATTACTAAACTGGCTGCTGAAGGCGCATCCTGCTTTGATTAGTGCTGTGTGGCAGTGGTTCCGTAAGTGACGGTGCCACCTGTCACTCATGCTTCCCACTGTGTCCTCCCTGGGATGCTGCACTTTAGCATTACTGATACTAATGGGTGGCACCCGAGGCAGAAAAACTTGATTCTGTCTTTACCCTGACTCTATGTTAATCCTCACGATTACTAGAACATTACCTGGGATCCTGTTCAAACAGAATTATTGAAATGATGTGTCTTTATAGTATTTTCTTCCTTGACAAAAGCAATCTGACTACTGTATTTGTTAAGATTATACACTGTAGAAACAGACTGCTTAAATTAAATGATGACAAAGATCACGGGACCATTAGCTCCTGTGTTTAAAGAAGGAAAGAACTAATTGAGCCACAAGCAGACAAGAGCCAGAGCAGCCCCAAGACTGTGGGAAAGAGAAAGAATTGCATCTGGGAAGCTTGGGTCACATGTCTCTAACCCTGACTCAGCTATAATGAGGGGACAAGGCCACTGTGAACCAAGCAGGCCACCACAGTTTGTGTGTAGTGTGCTATACATAAAACATAATGCTCTCCATGTAATTAGTCTCCTTCTCTAACATTGTACTATGTATTTTTTTTCCTTAAGCATCTACAATCTTTGTAATCCTTGTTCTCAATAGGTATATAACATTCTGTGAATAAGTGTACCCCAATTTATTTAGCTACCTCCCACTTTGGGGTTTTCTTTTTTGTTCATTTGTTTTGGGACAGGGATTATGAATCATGCTATCACAAAAACATCTTCATTCAGATGGCTTTTTCCATATTTTGGATTATTTTCTTGAGTTAGGCTTAGGTCTCAGAAATTGAATTACCAGGTTAAAGAGTGTTAACTTTTTTTTCCTGACTCTTGATAAATGTTGCTCGGTTAATCTCCCAGAGTTAAGTCTATGGACCCATTGAATGTGTTTTTAAATAGTGTTTCTTGCTAAATGTTGAATCTTCATGTTTGAATAATTTATACTGCCTCAAATTAAGTAATGGATGTCCAAGATGAAAATATGTTTATTGACTTGTAAGAATCATAGCATATTTTTCTAAATGTATTTTCTTCAATAAATAATTCCTTTATTATATGTAAAATATAATGTTTTCCAAATATGTTTAATTGAATCACTATGGACTGAAGTTGATGATTAAGCTGTAGAGTGGAGAAATGAAAATAGGCTTAAAATTATTTTTCAGTTCAAATAAGGCATCTAAAATATATTATCTAAGATGACTGAGCAGTTTGTTGATTTTTAAATGATGAATTTAATACTAAATAGAAAACCTACCTTGTAATACTTAGAAATATTTCAGAACGAATCATGGTGCTTATTTTTGAAAAAGCTTTTCTTTTAAGTAGGAGAACAATGCATTAAAATTATTTATAATTTGTAACTAAGTGTAATTTTAAAACTTACTATATCATAAAAGGTAGCAGAATGCTAAATTTTCCTCTTGAATGTGGGAACATGTGTAATCACATTAGCAGTGATTTCTATTCATCTCTAATACTGTCATAAGCCACTAAGGGCAAGTTAAATTCTTTTAACTTCTCAAATTCTTGAGCCAAAAAATTCAGGAAAATTCAATCTTTCTGTTACAGCTTTTAAAAAAAACTACAACCTAACATTGGCTATAAAAATTGACATCTTTTGCTTTTGCTCCTAGACTATTTGGGAAATCCACGTAGAAATATACAGATGCCACATTTAGTACTGAATGTAGCAAAAGGGAAGTCTTCCCCGGAGCTGGCAGCCAGATACCTTCTTCGCAACCTGTTCACTGAGGACGTCCTCATCAGAAGTACCGTCTATGGCGATCTGGGGCATGGCATGAGTGCCCTTAACACCAACAGGATTAATGCTCTCCGAGGTTTGTTACATGTAGAGTATGTCAGAATAAATAAAAGCCAACTGTGTGTGAGAAGAATGGCAGACAGAAAAATCCAGTCAGTGTGGATATGATCTGAGGCGGGGAGGGGCTCATACTGAGTCTCTCATTAGGGTCTAACAAGGAGCAGGTTTATGAATTGTATTTCTTTGCCTCTGGGTTCTTAGGGCCAATCGCTCTGTCCTGAATGGCTCTTACAAGGACAGGAAAGGTGTTACTGACTATGGCTCCTTGATCTGCACTACCAGGGGTATGAGAACTCAAGTACATTCACTGACAAGGTCAATGTGGAAGCCGAAGGGCTTCATCCGTTTTCAGAAGTGTCAACAATAGCAGAGGTTACTGTGCTGTTTTTCTTGTGCACATGAGCATAGCATAGTCTCTATGACGTGTGTAAAGGAAGTAATAAAGCTTCCAAAAACAATTCCGTGATATCTGAAATTTGGACAAAGCAGGAAGCTCTTCACAGGAAGAATCTTTCCTTGTGTCACTGGTACCTAGCACAGATGTAGCTTTGAGCCCCAACCTATCTCAGTTGGCCCCTCTCTGGTTCCTACCCTTCGTATCACATATTTTCATATCCAATAAATTTGGACAGCACTGGTGTTTTGGGCTAAACACCTTTGTAGAAGCATTTTGCTAGCATTTAACCTAATTGTTTTTAAGCTTTTGGGGGGCTGCAACACATAATAAGAAATATATTTTACACTGTGACATGGTATATATGCCTCTGTGTATGTATGTGATTTTTAAAAAACCAAAGCAGAAGTTTTACAAATCCTATTCACTTTGTGAGCCTTGCATTTCAGTGTTTTCTGCTCTATTACATTTCTTTTTAAAGTGTTGCTATTGCTGATTTCATGACCTAGGAATTGATCACAACTTGCAATTTGAACATCTCCAAACTAACACATCAGGCAAAAAACAAACAAACAAAAGAAAACAAAAAAAAAATCTACCCCAAACCCAGTTTCTCTTACCTTATGGTAAAAACACTTTATAGCCAATTCTGAAATGAATATGTTTATGGAAGAAACAGCATCTTTCTATTAATTTTTTTTAATGTAAGGCAAAAGTGACTTTTATAGTTCCTTAATATCTGGAATATGTTAATCCCTTAAAAGTTGATGAAAAATATTTTCCTAAGTATTTTATCTTGTTTTAGCTTTTACTGAATTATATTATAATTGGGACGATGTCTTTTGCAGTAAAAAATATTCAGTATGAGTTTGACGTACTATCCACATAGAGCAGATTTTAACAAATTTCCCATAAGGCTCAAAGTTCTATTGCTTTGTAGAAGGGCAGTTGTGTGAGTTAGTTCAGCAGAGAAAAAGCAGTAGACTCGTTGTTGTCCCAAGGGGCAGAGCCGGGCCCAAACAGTAGAAGCTGACAAGGCAGCATATTTCACTTTAATATAAGGATAAAATGGACTTGGAGAATGAAAAGAGTCACAGCAGAGGCTGGGTGACCAGCAATGAGAGGAGAGGGACAGCTCTGCACTTACCGTGAGACTGGGCTTATGGCTTCTAATATAATTTCTATAATCTTATTACTTCATTTTAGATGAGTTCAGAGTCCCATACATTTAAATGTATGGAGAATATAAGAATATAATAAACAGCCATCTCCCCATCACTGATAGAGACATTTTGTCTTTTATGAGCCCGATTTTTTTTATAAAAATAATAAAGCAGTACTGCTATAATTAATACTCTAAGCCATCATCCTTTCCCCCTCTCCTGCTCCCCAGAAGTAATCACTCCAAGTCCTAGAGTTGGATATATCATTCCCATGTGTGCTTTATTCTTTTGCTACCTATGTTAATAGATCCATAAATAATATATAATATTGTTCTATAGTTGTTTTGATGTCCATAAATGGGGATGTATGGTACATACCTTTTGCACATTTTTTAATCATTCAACATGATGTTTTGGAGACACACTCATATGTTTGAACTGCTGATTGGTACCCTATTCAATGAATAAGCCAATTTATTCTTCTAATATAATTTCTCATCCTAAAATATTGTTACTTGGGGAGAGCTCTTCTGGAAATTAGTTGTCAAAGGAGACTATGTCACCAAAGGTGTTGATTTTATATAAGGTACTATTATTATCTTATGCTCTTTGATGAGAGAGTTCAGTATCACTTAAGGACTCTTGTTTTCTTTTGGGGGGGATACAGTCTCACTATGTTGCCCTGGGTAGAGTGCTGTGGTGTCCCAGCTCACAGCAACCTCAAACTCTTGGGCTTAAGTGCTTCTCTTGCCTCAGCCTCCTAAGTAGCAGGGACTACAGGCACCTGCCACAATGCCTGGCTATTTTTTGGTTGCAGCTATCATTGTTGTTTAGCAGGCCGGGGCCAGGCTCGAACCCACCAGCCTTGGTGTATGTGGTCAGCACCCTACCCACTGAGCTACAGAGGCCGAGCCTCACTTAAAGACTCTTGAGTATAATTTATATGGAGGAAGTTAGTAGGCTGCAGATTTGCATTCCACACACAGTTCTCACTCCTTAAACCTCTCGCCCCTGTCATTATATTCCAGAACTGTAGAAGCTTAGCAATAGAAGTGTTTTATGGGCCCTCTAATACAGCGTTCCACCCAGAGCAGGAATTCCCATCTTTGCTCTGAAATAGAATTGCCTGCCCTGGGCTCGAACACTTCCATTGGTGAGGCTTCCTTTGTCTCAGTAAGGGAGTCCACTGCATTTTAAAAGAGTTTCTGTTCATGGCAAAGTCCTTCCTTCCAGTGACTCAAAATGTACCTCCCTGTATGTCATAATACATTTGTCCTGGGAATCCCTTCCCCAAGCTAAACTGAGTCAATCCAATCGCAGGCTGAAGCTTCACGTAGTTAATGACAGCTATTACTTCCAGCTGAGACTTTAGGAGACAGTAAATACAACACTTTTCCCTCTCTTTTAAGTTCAGAAACGAGGACGAGACAGCTAGCTACTCAAGTCAGGCAAATGGAGATAAAAATAGCAGCTTCGTTCTTGAACCGTGTATGCTCAGTTTTCCCAAACTTCCCAATGTACAGCTCTCTCCACGTGGAAGCGTAAGGGTCAGAGAAGAAATGTTCTACCCAATCTTTTGCCTCTGAAGCCTTACACTTTCACAGTTAAATATCATCATTTCCTTCCATAATTCCTCACAGAAATGTTGTCCTGAGCCTTCATGATCTGACTCAGTGACTACCTTCAGGTGATACAATAGTACTATTAGCTATTGGGCCATTAATGCACTTGCCATTTTAAAATTTATGGTCAACTAGAACCCCCTTAGGGGTTTTTCTGTATACTGATACTTACACAGTACCTATGTTGTTAATATTCAGGCCGCTCCTGTTTATACTGTTAGTATTTTTTTTAATGTAAGCACAGAAAAAATATAAATATAAAAATCTTTATTCCTCCTGCATTTTATCCTATTTGTATGGGTCAGTATTCCTGAAACTGTGTTTCTCAAAGACAGTTGCGTGTTAACAGACGTCTCACGAATGAAGTACCTTTCGGTCAAACAGTTAGGAAAGATGTTAAGCTAACACCCAAAGCCCTCAGTCATTAGATCGATTTCACTTGACTCTCAGATTTTTTTGTTTGCTTTATTTTTTGTTTCAGAGATAGGGTCTCTCTCTGTTGCCCAGGCTGCAGTGCAGTGGGCCTGATAGAACACCTGGCCTAGTAGCTAGGACTACAGGCACATACCACCATACCTAGCTAATGGTTTTTTTTTTTTTTTTTTTACTTATTTTATTTTTGTGCAGATGAAGTCTTGTTAGGTTGCCCAGGCTGGTCTCAAATTCCTGGCCTCAAATGATCTTTGTACCTTGGCCTCCCAAAATGCTCGGATCACCAACACTGAGCCTGGCTGACTCTCACTTTTAAAACATGTTTTGAATGCCTTTAGCTGTCAAGGCTGCCCAGATCGCCCCAGTCCTGACCCCCGACCCTCTGTTGTCTTAAGCTCCGCCATCTCCTTCATTTATGTACCCCACCAACAATGGCTGCATCTGGAACCTTTGAATCAGTGAAAAGTGTTTTCATATGTTTTTACCATGGGATTTTTCAGAGCTTTGAATATGCTTATGGGCAGTGTAAATCTCTGTGTGGGGACTAACTACGGCAGGGGTCCTCAAACTTTTTAAACAGGAGCCAGTTCACTGTCCCTCAGACCACTGGGGGGCCGGACTGCGGGCCCCGGGATGAGTCGGCTGCTCCTAGGATGAGTCGGCAGCAAAAATACCCAGCAGGCTGGATAAATGTCCTAGGCGGGCCGCAGTTTGAGGATGCCTGAACTACGGAGTATAGCTTTTTCCATTTGCACAACCAGGATGTTTTCCTCAAGGCATTTCTGATGCTGTTCCAGAGAACACATAGTGGGAAACACCACCCAATCTAGGCTCTGTGTTGCCTGTTGAAAGCTTTGCCAGTGTTATATTTGTCTTCCAGTGTGTTAATTATCCCTCCCAGCTTTGTTACCACGGGCAGATGGGACAAGCATGCTTTCTTATAACTTCTTTTTGGTTAAGAAAAGCATGTGTCAGGATAGAGCCCGATACTGAATCTAGTCACACACACTTCACGAAAACCTCTTTCCAGGCTACCCCTGATCTATTCATTTGTCCTTTGGATACAAAACCCTTTTAACTTTGATATATGCCTTGCTAAAAAGAATTGGTTATCTGCTGTGTTTGTGGCATTGTCCTGATACTAGCCTATTAATCCTATTGAAAAACAAGTGAAATTAATACAGCAAACTAATGCGACCTGTAGGGACCACCAAATCCTTTTTGGGGGATCAAAGGCACTTAGGCGATCACCTAACAAGTATCCAGGGGGACTCTTCTCTTCTAATAAGTACTTCTCTTCTCACCTTTTCCTTTGTCTGTCCTCCCACTTTCTGTCTCCTTGAATTCTCTCACTCTGTCACCTTCCCTTATAGGGAAGGGAACCTCTTCCTCTAACCACAAGATCTAAGGACCCCAATTCCTTTTGCCAGAGGTAAATCCAGCAGGACCAAAAAGTTAGAAGTTACAGCTTCTTAATCTCTCTAAGCATGAAGCCACTGCTGTCTCATATGTATTACAGAGGCTTAGCCTGTCTCTGTTAGATGGCAAATGACAGGCTAGATGCATATTTGATGCATTTAAGAATAAGAAAAGTTGACCTTGGGTCCTCAAGGCAACAGAGGGTTTCTCTTTTGGTATGTAGCAAGGTCATGGGAGATTGCTGATTCATTGTGATTTAAGAGTGATGCTATTTCATGTAATTTATCCTTTTAGATTAAAAGATTTGCTCAGCTAATTTAATAATGATTACAGTTCATGTGTTTTAATTAAAGTCTTAACGACCCTTTCACAGACATTGCAGTAGAATTAAGGTTGAATAGATTCATTTTTCTGAGAAGTGACTGCTAAGTAACTGTTGTGTTTTGGGACTTTTACCACCAGAGTTTCTCCAAGACAACTTCCCGACTTGTGATTTCTCAGAAGCTGGATATGACTGGAGAATGTGTGTGACATCTATCAACAGCTATATCTGTATCCTTAGAAGTGGCCTCCGGAAGTCCGCGCCCAAATCCCAGCCGTCTGCAGCAGCTAGCTCATCAGCAGGGTCAGAGCCAAAGAGATAAACCGACTTCACTGACTAAGTACCTGATGTCAACCATTTAACTGTAAAAAATCCTGTTACATTATTTTGTGTGTTTCTCAAGTTAGAATTCTAGAATTAGCTGGTTGTAGGACTAGAGTAGTTTTTCATTCACACCTGAGGAAATAGGCAAGGCTCTTTTTCTGCCTGGAAAGGGAGCAGAATTACATTAGGAAGACATGAGATGCTTTAGCTCAGGAGTGAAGGGGTGGTCAGTATTCTGATGAGGCCCTCTTATGGAGAGGATGAAAGTGATTATGTCATGGTGGTTTCCACTGCTATTGACTGCAGAGTGAGAAGACCAAGTACACTTAGCACTTACTGACAGATGACCTCTGAGCATCAGCGATGCAAACAAAGGGAGTCAGGTAGAAACCTGCACTTGGACGGGAAAAGCATACTGCTGAGCATACAAACATGTAAACATTTCCATACGAACATGCACATTGTAAGCACAGCATTTGCTGAGCTTAGAAACATGCATATCTAGACACAATATTTGCCAAGTCATTTGTAACTAGAGAGCTTAGGTCTAAAGTCCACTGATTTGGAAGCAAGCTATGATTTACATACCATCAAAACACCTGCAGTGGCTTTCGCCAGGATCCCATGATTGGAGTCATAGTATTTGACCTAAGCTTTCTAAGGATGAGACCTGTATTCTTTGGATTTACTTCACAGGAGAACAGCCTTCTTTGAGTTTCCTCCTGATAACATTTTATCACAGAGGTTTGCTCAGGGTGAACCTAGAAAGTCACATCAGGAGACTTTTTGGTTCCATTTACAATTTAAGTTGAAAGATGTCACTACGAATAACAAGATGCTAACCAAATTCAGACATTAACAGTCTTGGTTTTTGAAATCTTTAGGTGAAGGTTTCAATACATTTGCTGTGTTTTTTCCGATAGATGCTACTAGTCGAAATGCACACAAATTTAATGAGAAAAAAATCGATCAGAAATTCAATGAGAAAAAAGTGTCTTAAAGGACATTGCTGGAATTATTAGAGAATTTAAAAATAATTCCATTTTTTGCACCTAAATAGGATTAAGAAAGCTCTCGAATGTTTTAGCTATAGGAAGCACACATGATTTGTGTTTAAGCAACATTTTGTCAGTTTTAACACCACCTCTCTGCTTCCAACTTCCAAACAGTTCTCAGTCACACTCATTTTAAGCATTTTTAGTTGTTACTCAACTAAAGGCAAATTTTTTCCATATAAGAGTTCGGTCTTTAGTTATGGCCATGTGCTCATGACCCATGGCTTTGTCTTAGATAACTGATGTTACTTCAAACTTTTTATAAGGCAGAGAAACGATTTCAATAGAAAGTAATGAGTCGCTGAGTCAAATAATACAATTTGTATGAAACTTGAGAAGTTTTTTTTTTTTAATTTTTGTGACTTCTGAGATAATTTTAAGTGACCAGTTCACAGAAGGGATATGTATTTTCATTTTTGTAGGGTGTGCCATTTGAAAATTAAACTTTTAGAATTTGAGTGAAAAACATAGTTATATAAGGATAAGTTTTCGTTTTTAAGGCTATTTTCTAAACTTCTATCTTTTGAAAATTAAACTTTTAGAATTTGAGTGAAAAACATAGTTATATAAGGATAAGTTTCCGTTTTTAAGGCTGTTTTCTAAACTTCTAAG